AGAAAAGTGGAAAAATATAGACAAACAATGGAATTTAGTTGCTTGTCGGTTGACGCCAACATTCGACATTCCTGAGTCTGAGCTGATTTTTTCGGAAGAAAAGCAAACAATCGCGCACATCCTGATCAAAATAGAATACCATCGCGCAGCACTGGGCGACATCGTCCCACAGAGGCTGCACCATCTCTATGTATAAAATTTTGGTCGCATATGGTATCTGTATAGTAGTTTTGCTGCGTCGCCAAGTAAGCGGCCTTCCATCGGCCACAATACAACCTCTCTTGAGATTCTGTCATTGATGAGCATCTGAAATGGAAAAAAATCAACTATCAAAAAAGTTCATCTCGAGGACAGTGACAACCCCACTGCAGAGCGGCCGTCAAGAGCCTCTGTGTTCTTCACAACGGGTGCTCGGTTTTTGGTCCTACAAGACAGAATGACCATGCTCACCGTTAAGTGAAAACGTCGTTAACTTGTTAAAGGCACAATTCGCGATAATTTGACACTTGGTCTAAAATGGTAGGGGTTCTATATAGTGCCAAAATGACGAAAAAAGGGAAGTAAAATGAAACGGTCAAAACCAGCAAAAAATGCCTTTGTCCTACACAACTCAAAGCAATTTCGGGCGTTTTTCATTGGCATCGTGCCAGGTATATACGGCTGCCTGTATATACTACTTTATCCATGCAGCACCGCAGCCGCTTTCCATCAAATCCCTTCGCTTCATTTTGTACTTCGCAAATGAAGCGATACAAGCATAAGCATCGGCCAGCCATTTGTGAGACGGGCGCGGTGAGCATCCGGGTCGCTATGCTGCAGCTTGATGGAGCGCTATACAGGTAGCGTCCTTGGGAAAGACGCTGCGCAGCGCCTGCTCAGTGGCGCCGAATTCTATCCTGCTAGGGTTTTTACTGATACTACACGTCTTCGGGATTTATCGTGCTACTTACCTTTGAGCCAACACGAATAAGAGCTTTGAAAACGATGGCTGTCTCCCCTTGTACATAGGCTTCTTTCTATTCAATCATGTCGGGTTGCCATCGTAAAGCAGAAAGGTCGTCTATGACAAGCGATTGACAGGAATCCTTATCGCCGACGCCACAGTTGCAGAAAACCAATCTTCCAATTTCCTGTGATGAAACCTGCACTCGAAGCTTCATAGGTATTGATAATACGGGGTGCTATTGCAGAGGATACAGTGGTATACACATAATCGTTGTGAATCCACAATTAAGTCACGAGAAAAAAAGGCTCGCATTTTTGTTTCTGGAAAACCCGGCACTCACTAGTAATGAGCAACGCCAAATTTCTTGCACTCCCAGTATTTTACTCTTGGTATCAACAAAGAACTTGTGAAAATTTTTGAGCAAACGATGAAGGAACTCGGGCTTCCCGTTCTCTTCAATGGAAAAATTAAGAAAAAATTCGGGTGTATTGGTAATAATATTGGGGTACGTAATGGTGCAAAGGTGAAGGGTATCGTCTCCGGAAAGGGATACACATTTCACAGGGACAAGATACTGACATTTCCACATCCCATGATCTCATGGTCAGCTGTATGTTCATTAGCCTGGCCATGCCACCCTCGCCATGTCGTGGCGCATTCTATACGGGGTTCTCTTCAGAAGGAGGGTTTTATAAGAGGCAAGTGTGACAGGTCTGGATTTGTGTCATGAACAGATGACGAACTGCACTTCTCTCTTCATAAATTGAAGTATCTAGAGTGATCTATAACTTCTCCCCAGCATAAAAGCCTATTCGCACAAAAGTTTTCCGCATTCTGGCATCATGAGGCAACAATGCATCCTATAAAACCCCCTTCAAAATGATTTCGATCGATCAAGAACAGTAACAGGAAGCGCTAATGCACTTACGATAAGGAGTCAAGGCAGTGGGGCGCCACTGCTCATTTGCGACTTTTCATTAAAGGCAGTTGGCACGATGGCTTCCTAATCGGCCTAAAATGCTAGTAGGGGGCTATATAGTGGGGAAATGCGAAAGAACGAAGTGAAACGGTCAAAATCCTGCGAAGAAAGAGCCTCCGATCTCGGTGACTTGAAAATCGATTTCGGACGAGTTTCCCCTAGGCATCTTGCCAATCACCGCTAGCGAAGATACGGCTGCATATGTGTACCCATATATGCATGCAGCATCACGGCCGCTTCATACCAATCCTTCGCTTCATGCTTTGCTTAGCAAATGAAATGAATACGAGCGTTAGGAACGGTCGTCCATTTTGTGGCGCGCGCGAAGCATAGGACTGTGGTCGGGATTTGACGTACCGGTGGGTTGTAGCTTGACGGGGCCCTTATAACGGCAATTTTCTTGGAGAAGCCGACCTGCTCAGGCTCGGGGAATTCCGTCATGCCACACGTATGTTCCTAGTCCCCGGGAATTTATCGTGCCAGCTGCCTTTAATGGTGGAATAAGGTTCGGTAGAATTGATAAAACACGGCGCGCCGGCCTCTGTTAAGGTGATTTCAGATGAAGGGTATGACTACGACACTAAAAGCTGCAAAGTCTAATCTTAAGCTACTACAGCGAAGCCTGTTGTCACTTCCGTTAAACTTCGAAGACGTGATTATTCGACAGATCCCCTCCGAGACTGCGCTGCGGATGCGGGGACGAGTCAATGGGCTGAGTTCAGCGCGGCGCCACCAAGTTTTCACGGCAAACATGTCGGAGAGCACGAGGCAAAGTTGAACAACCACCAGAGGTGGAGTGAAACGGTTGCGTCAGCGCCAAACACCATCCTGGGCTGGACCCTGCCCTTATCCCGCAGCTGACAAGACTGTACCCCGCTTTCTTCGAAGCCTGTTTTTGTTTTATGATACTGCTGTTTAACGGACGCCCGCCCGTACCATTCCGAAATGTTATCACAAGAACGTGCTGAGTTGTGGGCAAAAGTCGTGCCCCAGGCGGGAGTCGAACCCGCACCTCACGCTTTCCGGGCGAGTGCGCTATCCGTTACGCCACCAGGGCCGCTTTTACCCTCTCAGCTTAACGGCTTTTATGCCGTAGCCTATCAGCACTCACACGTTTAACTTGGTGACCATATTTTCTGTTCTCTTGTACACTTCAGTTCATACGGAACATTCGAATTCTGGAGCGTGGCAGCTCGTCAGAAGTATTTTCCGAAAGAAGGAACAGTTAATACATCCCAGCTAGCGCAACAGGGGGAGAAAAACTCACCGTTGGCGCGCACGCGGCGCGTTCAGACAGTGTCGCTGTGATGGTGCGGAAGAGCCTAAGCTTCCTACAGTTACTCGGAATCTCAATACAGTTACGCTACGAATGTGGGAAAAGACGCGTGCGTGATGTATTCCGTCACAAACTTGTAGTACCGCCTTTTACTTGTTCTCATGGCAAATTTTAATCGCAGGGCGGTGATTTTGCCGCAAGTGGCGCCGCTCAAGGGCCGCTGCTTCCGGTGTCCAATCCCAAACCGGCTGTCACCAAGACCAACAAGCCTTCTACCTTATGGGATGGGTACCACAATCGTTTCGGAGGATAGAAACATGACTTGTACATCGGGTGACCCCACCTGTTATTATATAGGCCACATCGCATTCAATAGGTCACTATTCTGAAGAGAAGTAGAATGCACGTAGCATCCTCAGAAGGGGTCGATCAACGGCAAAGACTTCTCTCATCCTTTTTGACGGACACTCTCCTAAATGTGGAACGCGTGACAGTGTACTCCTTCTGGCGGTAGCTGCGCTTTTGGACGGATCGCATTTTCGCAGCAATTGTAGTCATGTCTTAGTCTTGCACGAGACAAGACGACAGTTTCTAGATGGGAACGTTACTCTCAGTTGAAGTACGCAGCCTCTTGCTCACGGCCAGCCATGAACTTTTGCTGGAGGTGGGGGGTGACCCTGCTCTTCTGCGCTCTTCCCAGGCTGTGCAAGGATCACCATTCACCCTGGTAAAGGGAAGGGCGCGAACGACCGCGCCCTTCGAAGAATGGCCCCCACTAACTAGGTTAGCGTTAGTTCTGGTTCTCGCTGAATGTCATGGTAAATAATGTCCTATGTCGCAAGGAGGGGAAGGCTGATCAGCCTGGTAGTTTTTCGCATAAGCTCGCGAATTGTTTGATAGCAAAAGCATCACACAATACTCGCAAATGGAAGCAGGACAGGTCCGTCAAAGCCACAAATCAAGTGACATGCGTACCAGCCGGCACAGCATTCAGGATGGGGATTTTAGTCGAGCTTTTACACCCCCCCCCACCTTTTTCAGAGGGCTGTCACGACCCCACCGCCATGCCTCTAGATGGCCTGACATGGCATGGTTGACGGTTTATACTCGGCGGCAAAATGTTGTCGAGCGGGGGGGGAGGGCGGGAGGGACCTCTCCAACAACGACCAAATACGACCCCCCCTCCAAAACGTCCGCAAAGCGAGAAAAATCAACTATAAAAATAAATTTTTCCCAGCCCAAATACGACCCCCCCCCCGGCCAAATACGACCCCCCCCCCATAGGGAATCCCCAACCAATGCTGCCTTGCCCTGCCCATCATATCACACCCGTCCCTGCAAAAACTGAGCGGTGTGCATTTTCGCGTCAATTCCTAGTGCTGCCGCATTTTTACAGAAATCGGATGAGCGCCCCCGTTTTTGATCTCGCTCACGAGCCCGTTTGTTTAAGCTTCTGCTGTCTCCCCGAATAAACAGTCCCGTGCAGCTGTTTTTATATCGTGTGTTGATATTCATATTGGGATTCAAATAGGTTGGTTTTTTGCTCTTCCAAACTAATCCAAAGCTTTCGCATCAATGCTGACAACGCGGTGGTGTGTAAGCAGAGTATCTTTTCAGTTCAGTAGAGCATTTACTATGGTGACAGTGTAACTTGAGCATATAATTATGTTTCCGAGGCAATTGAGAAACTATGGATGTCATCTTATAGCTGAAATTTTTAATCGTCGTAAAACGTTGATATCGCGTCCTAATACCTATGCTAATTAATACCTGAAGAGCAGTTTTTCTAGGTGAGGGAAATGTCGGTAACATTTCCATGTTGGGCTCGAGTAAGTAATGCAGTAGAAGATCCACAAACAAAGAGTTCAGTAGCACAAGATCAAGTCATTCAGCTGACTTCAGAAGATGGCGATTGGTGATTTTTAGTCGCATTTCACCTTTTATCGCGGCTCTCTACTCAGTCTTTTCGTGTTTTAGGTATGTTATGAAGACGCTTGATGGGCAGTTTGGCAGAGTGCCAAAGATTCTCACAATTCCCATTGCAAACCCTTTACGGTGAGTTTTCTCCGATCCTTTTTTCTACACTGCATAGCTTGAAGCTGCGTTTGATGAGGCCTGCGGTCGGACCTCCATATCTTCGGAACTTTTTGAGTTACGCTGTAGTTTGCCGCAAATTGGTCTACTTCAGCGGACGCTGTAGGTTGCCGATTCTCAGCGAGGGGATGGGGCAGGGTCGTATGTGGTCACTAGAGGGACAGGGCTCGTATTGTTTTTAATATAAAAGTTTCCAGTTCCTCACTTTTAGTTTTTCTGTTTCACGGACGCGACAACCTTCCTCACCCCCTCCCCTTTTTTTCCACCCCTCCACCCCGCTCCACGGCTGTTTTGGAGAAAACTGGTGAAACACTTCCTTCGGAAAAGTGGTTGGGACTAGAGGAAGATGGCACGTAGGATGGGCAAGGGGACCGTAGTACTAATGGAGGAAATTCCAGAGAGAAGGGGCGCATCTTGCAAAATTCTTGTCCAACGGCAGGACGTGCTCTGCTTTCTAGGGTAGTGTTGTTTTGCTGATCCTATGCAGCTGAGGTAATGCTGACAGCTGCAGGTGTTTTCCATTTGTTCTTTGCTCTTTTATTGTTACAATTACAGAACTCCGTCAGAGAAAGTATTATGCTCTATTGCCCAGTATGATGCTCAGAGAGATGGAGACCTGTCTTTTGCTGTATTCACTATTATAGGTAACTTGTTTTGTTTTGCAATCTTTTGGGACATTTGAAGGTTTCCTTGTGCTGAACTAGAATCATCGTAATGTAGGTGAGACTTTTGTGTGAGCCTGAAGCGGAAGTTCGCGTTAATCGCATGGCTATCGTATGGCGTTAATCGCATTTTTGGTCAAGGAGCTCTTTAAATGCTTCCCTAAAGCCTCTTGAGATATTCACACGGCTCACACCTTTGTCCTTACTCCCTAGTTATTGAGGCTATGGGTTTTCAAGGGGGTAGTCTTTCAAGCAGTAGGCTAAAGTATATTACTGTATTGTAGTGGGATTGACAAAATCGGTATTCCATGTCTTACTCTGAACCATTTTATAGTGTCTGATGCCATTGCGTCTACTGGCTACGGTACGGGTGTCGTCGTCACAGATACCGGCAAGCGACTTGGTGCCAGTGGAACATTTCCCCTTAACTATGTTACAGAGGTAACTCCTTCATGAATTATCGCTTCTATTGTTTTATGCCCTTTTCCTAGGACCATAATTCGCATTATTTTGGATATCTTGCTTATTTCCCAGCTTTTCACAGCTTTACTCTGTAGTCTAGCTCGCTTTGGACCAAGGGGTGTGTCAGACGAGATGAGTTTGGCGTGTTGCCAATCCTGTTCCTGAGCAAGTGAAAGGTTGTACATATCGTCTGTATCATTCGTTTTCTACCAATTGTTGCCGCATACTCGCTTCAGCACCTGGGTCTACGCCGTGGCACACTCATACTGCCTGACACGCCCATTCGTCCGGAGCGAACTAAAGTGTCTTTACGTCCTCATAAATTCGGTTCAGCGTTGTTAACCTAGAAGTCGCTTATTTCTAGCACTGAATTCAGAATCGTATGCCTTAAGGACAAACCCCGCGATTGTATAATGCGGATGGTAGTGATCGATTACAAACCTATAGGGCCAAATAGCTCTCTAAAAGGAAGAAAGCAAAGAGAATGCAATGCTAATACCATGTTACTGTGGAAAAAGGGGAAAGCATGTGTGAGAACTAATCTCGTGACAGAAAGCAGCCCTTGAGCTCTAATGGACGAGGCAACTAGGGAGGCGTCAGAACTGCCCCCCCCCCCAGGAGGGCCGAAGCGTCTTCATTATTCACTGTGAAGCCACGAAAGTGGGATAGGCTAAGAGACTGAGGACTAGACTTTACAATAGACGACTCCTACGAAATCCTCGGGCGCGAGGACTGTCTTAGCCTCACTGTGCGACTACTTGAAAGGCGGAAGTGTTCTATGTGCAGGTGGTGAAGTCTGTATCCATACGAGTGTGGTAATTTCACCTTTCGGATGCGCATAGAAATGAAGATGTAGGTTTAAGATAGATGGGTCTACTTTGGGGTCCACCCGTGTTCGATGAACGGTGCACGGGCTTGTTGCCAAGACTTTCGCTGCTGATCCGTGCAACTAAGGCAGCGTTCAGACTTCGCGACAGCAGCGCTTCGGTCGCGCGTTCGACGCGATCGATGCGCATGCTTTCGACTGCATTGATCGCGTCGAACGCGCGACCGAAGCGCTGCCGTCGCGAAGTCTGAACGCTGCCTAAGGCCCCGCCCACTGCGAACGTTTCCCGTAGTCGCGCCCGCCGTAGGCAACGATGATATCTCAACCAAACAGGAGACGGCTCAGGCAAGCGGTGCGTGTAGCTATGATCAGGCTCAGCAGAATGTCAGGCAGGTCTATAGCCTGCTTATCATGTATTGATTGGCAGTCGAAGACATAAATAACATAAAGTTATCACAATCTTACCGCTTCATTTTCGCATTTATTTTGCTGTTACAGCGAGGGCCTGCTCAGTAACGTTTCATCGGGGCTTTCATAAATCCCGGTTTTTTAGATGGTCTGAGAACTCTATCAAGATGCTGTTTGGGAGAAACTCACTCAAGTCCAAAATTATAATAATAACTCGTTTATGAGTCAGTACAGCGTTACAACGACCATTGTACTTGGCACGAATTGCTCTATATGTCCTGTGTAAGGACAAGAAAGAGCTGAGGTTGACTGTCATTAGATGTTCATGAGTTGCGGAGCTGCTTTCAACTGTGGCACTTCAACTCCATATTCTTACGCTACCGCCCGTGAATGATAGTTTGGATGGGGCGAGTTTCTAACCATACCATTGACTGCTTTGATACTTTTTCGAAAGAAATCAGATTAGGTCAGGTTAACAATTTCCAAGAAAAGGTTTTTTTTGCTGCAAATTGTCTTTATTTTAGTGTTTTATAAGACTCCATTTCAGTGACAGAGCCATTACCACGTGCCCACAATAACTCTGATGTTCTTAGCACTCGGTTTACCTTGATCAAGCACGCTCGCTGCTCTTGATATCACTATTCTCGTTTTTCTCGTTTTAGCTGGAAGGGTTTATCGCTCCCCCGAATGTTCCTACGGCCATACCAACTTCGTTTACAACCAATTTTACGGACGTGCGATTCAGAGATGCTAGTAATTCTAACTACAATGTGCTCCCTTATGCAAGAGCTGTTTATCCTTTCACGTAGGTTTTTCAATTCTTCTGACTTCTCTGATAACTTGGGCACTATTCAACTATTACTACCCCAATTTTCCGAATCTTGATGAACTTTTTTTTGCCGGAGCAGACTTGTCTGGTGAGTTCTGGGGGTGATCGACCTCCTCAACACGAATATCACATCCGCTTGGCCTGAAACTGCCTGGCGCCCGCGCCACAGGCGCCGGCGCCAAAAACCTAAATCATTGAATTCGCTGAAAACTTCCCCAGGGGTAGTTTGACCTCTGAACACGAATATCACATTCGCTCGGCTCGATACCTCCCGGCACCCGCGCCACAGCCGCCACCGCCAAAATTCCTTAAATCACCAAACCCCTGGAAACTTGTATACGGAGGTTATTTGACATCTTGTTTACAAATATCACATTCATTTTTGGCGCTGGCGCTGATGGAAAACGCTAACATCTGCACTGTCCTAGGGCTGGGCCTGGCCGAAAGGGTATCACTTCTTCCCCCAGGTTCAGCCTCAGAGCGCTAGATGTCGTTGGTGTCGAAAAATAAATGTCATATTCGTGACCAGTGCATCAAACAACCCCATTATGCAGGTTTTTGTCGACTTTTATGGAAAAGGGTGCGGCGCTCAACCAGATTCAATGGCGCCAGGTCTGAAAACTAATGCGGTATTCGTGATGAGGACATAAGGTGATCTTACTATGCAGATTTACATCGAATTCGGTGAGAAATGTGGCGGCGCCAAACACTAGCGCCGAAAACGAGTGAAAAAAAGTTTTGACCTTTTGGGGTAGTATTAGTTGAAAAGTGCCGAAATTTGTAATCAAAACTTGCGAGGATCTCATTTATCTCTCTCTGCTTGGTTGAGAAAATACCATAGCTGATATTATTCAATTTTATGATGTGAAAATGGCTTTTTCCAGAGCTGATTTTCTCTTTCAGCGCCGAGTATGCTAACGAACTATCCTTGAATGTTGACGATATCATAACTTTGACAAGACGGGTTGATAAGGATTGGCTAGAAGGTGGCTTCCATTTATTTTCTGTTTCAAACGCGAGTCTCTCTGTTGTAGAACTCAACCCTATTGCTGTTCAGGTAGCGTCAGCGGTAAATCGGGGATTTTCCCGCAATCATTCGTTCAAATTGTTGTGGACTTGCCCAGTGACGGTCAAAGTGATGGAGAAAATAAGCGACAAAGCACCACTGAAGAGGGAGTGGGGTTGGTCCTCCACACATCCTTTTCAATTTCTTTCTTCTTTATATTTCATTTTCTTTGTATTTAGCTTTGCCATAGTTCGACATGACTTTATTGCCCGACAGAATGATGAACTCACGGTTAAAATGGGTGATTCCGTCAGGATTCTCAAGATGGTAAATTTCAAGCCTTAAATTCACACATTGTTGAGCCTGAAATCGCATTTATCTTACAGGTGAATACTGACTGGGTATCCTGTAAGGATCCGGCTACCGATGCTTCAGGAATTGTGCCAGTGGCATTTTTGGAGGTATGCTCCGTCTAGTTGTGGCGTAAAGTACTTTTTTCAAGGTTTCTTGAGACTATGTACGTTCCGTTCTCCACATTATTTAGTTACTCCCGGCATCGATTACTCAGTCCTGTTCGTAAGAATAACGAATGCGCTTCAGGTGTACTTAGATGAAGACGAGGACGATGCACGCGAGGCACCACCCCAGAATCGTCCAGCAAGTTATACTGAACAAAGTGTGAGTTTCACTACCTATGTTAGAAGCCACAGGAATCCTTTTAGATTGCCGGTTATCGTTGACCTGTTACGAAATACGGCACCCTTCCTACCCGTTTCTTTAGTTGCGAGTATCCTTATGATTCCTTCTGGTTCCATATAATGACCTCCATATCTTTGCGAAGATTTAGAGATCGTACCGGTCGTTTTTTTTTAGGGGATACCTTGGGCTGTGTTCATACTTTACGGCGGCTTTTGAGCGTTTCGAGCTTACGGCGGCGGCGTTTTGAACTACAAGGAAAGTAAAGGTATCGAATAAGCGTTCTGAGCGTCACCAGATTTCGAACGCTTCGCGAGTAGTCTTCAACTTTTGGCGGGCAGCCGCTGAAAACGCAGGTGTACGCTGAAACCGCTAGATCGATATCTATACTACCCTAGTCGCTCAGCTGACGCAATTTTTGAACGTAGCCTTAGCCATACCTTGCCATAAGATGGAGAAGGTCGTGAGAAAGCAGGGCATGTGAACTGACAGGCAGTTCCAGGGTTTCCACATAATGTTGTGCCCTATTTGAAGAAACCATCCCGATAGCTGTTCTTCCAATTAATGGTAATTAACGCTAAGAGCCTTTCTTTTGTTATGATGAATAACTTCTCGCGAAAGGACATGGCATTCCCGTCCCAATTTCCTTCTTAATTAAGCAACATTCCTGTCATTCATAGATCATTCCGTAACTGGAGGCTTAAACTTCGAAGATCCTGGGAGGGGAAAGGGGCAGTTACTTATCTGTAAATAAACTTGAAAAATATTCGATTTATGCTATGTCCTTCCCACTGTGGAGTTCTAACAGATCTTTTTATTTACTTGACAACATATTTTTTAGAGAGCCGTATTGTTTTCCAGTTTTCCACTCTTACCAACACCTCATTTACCGCTCCTCCTGTCGTACCCGACTGGCGAACTTCAACAAGAGTGGAAGATTTTCCGCCACCAATCGGTAATTATCTTGGTTTGGCAGTTATCACACAGTAGTTCGCTTCTATTTGCAACGCAATTTTGTCCGTTTATGATGTATTTTTGTATCTCTAGCTGCACAGTCGCATGCGTGGGCTACATTTGGTGATGACTGGAATGTGGCTGAGAAGAAACCAGCACCGGCTCGCCCTCCTCCTCCAAAGGTATGCGCCGAAGGTCACACAGGCGATCTCGACTGACTTATCTTTTTTTAAGGTCACTAGTATGTCTCCATCGGAAATGATTTCTGTCACCGAAATGTTGGGTATGGCGGAGAAGCAGGTATCATACTATGGCTACATATTATTTTTCACCTTTCAGTTGAGCATAGTTCAGAATGTCCCGGTAATCTCAGCTTCGAACGCAAGCATGAACCAAGAGGAAAAACGCTGTAAGGTTCTTGAAGAGCTGATCAGTACCGAGCTTCAGTTCATCACGGACATAAATGCGTATACGGAGGTATTTCAATAGATATGCCGCAAGTTTAATGATAATCTCATATGGTTGATACAACTTTTCATCATATTTTTAAGGCCGTTGATGGAAGCACACGTCTTTCCACAAAGCAAATGATAATCTCATATGGCTGATACAACTTTTCATCATATTTTTAAGGCCGTTGATGGAAGCACACGTCTTTCCACAAAGCAAAAAGTCATCATGAAAAATGGATGTGCACAAGTGGTTGAGCTAGCGCGTGCTCTTGTGCAAGGGCTCACAAATGAACAAAGTAATGTTTTCCTCGTTCAAGTTTGCACTTACATTGGACCATCTGAAGCTATATATCTGAGACAACGTAACCATTAAAGACAGCCCCCGCGCTCGAGTAGTACATGGTCGTCCTTCCTTGTGCAAGTAGTACAGCCCCCAAGCTAGAGACTATCGCTCTGCACAGCGAGCGAGAAGCGAGCTACAGCCGCTGTAAGTTCTAGTTCTAACGCCTGCTCAGTTGGACCGCCTTACTTGCTAGATGTCCTCCGACGGAGGCCACTCAGTTGTCTTAGTCGGGGCGGCGGGCATTGCTAATGCCCATGGATAATTCTGCTGTCCTTTATTACAGTTTACTCATTGGAGGTATGTAATATACATTCAATTCAACTCATTTTCGTTGAAGCTGACGCCGCTCAAAAAGACACGAGAGAGTGACGCAATTTCTCGATGATGCAACAACTCTCGACGCACAAAACGTGCGCTACCGTAATCCCAAATTCAGACACCGCGTTGATAAAATTCCTTTTTCCTTCCAAGAGTTTTTCCTCTGCGTTTTTGTTGTTTTTTTTGTATTCTTTTTTTGCACTGGATGATATCAACTACTGCGAGATGTGATAGAGAGATTTGTGAGCTAGGGGTTGCACAGAGACCGCAGGGAGGTGTGACTGTGAGGGAGCGATTTTGTTTATGTTGTTCTGGAGGACGCTTCTTGCCTGTTTTCTTCTTTGGGAGATTACTTATCAGCTACTGTTTCATAATTGGAAAGCAGCTATCCATGAGACTTTTATCGCGGGAGCTGTCTTTAACAAAAAGTGTCTTTTAGCCCATGGAACGCTTCCTAAACCGTTTTTGCATGTTGGGAGGATATACCATTTTCACTTTAAATTCACCACTTTTCAAACCAAATTCACCCTTTTTCAAACCAAATTCACCCCTTTTCAAACCAAATTCACCCCTTTTCAAACCAAATTCACCATCACTTTCCAAATCAAATTAACCACACTTATTAGGCGGGCAACTCATCAACCAGATCACGCCAGACACCACTGCGAGCCCCGCCCCGACGGCCACGCCTACTTGTCAGCGCGGACATAGATTTTCAAATCTTGTTTCATAACTTCTGCTTTTGCTGTTTCCCACAAACACTTTGACTGAAAACGACTGGGCATTGACACATGGCCGACTCCGCCCATTCTCTAAAGGGTTTGGCAATCTAGGCTCCGCCCCTTGACCACGCCCACTTGCTTTTCGCGGAATTTCTGATATTTTTTCAAAGTTTTCGCATTTTTGGGCTGCTGCGTGAAGCCACGTGCGAGAGGCTCCGCCCACTTTGAATAAGCCCCGCCCACTTTTCAAAAATGGTGCAGATCGGCAGTATAGAGTCTCGGCTGGCATGCTAGGGTATTGCTGATCATTCGGAACAAACTTTGCCTGATTTTCTTGTTCCGAGTGACGAACGAGACCCTAGCATGAAAGCCAAGACCCTATACTGCCGATTTGCACCATTTTTGAAAAGTGGGCGGGGCTTCTTCAAAGTGGGCGGAGCCTCT